TCATACTCCAATTTATTCTGCATGTTTTTTGGGCGATAGGTTCTTGGTTGGTTCGTTGCCAGCCAGCCTGCCAGACAGACAGCCAGCCAGCCAGCTAGCCAGAGTTCCTTGTTGCTTATTCTTATTACTCTGGTCATCTGATCTCCATCTTCACTATCGAGTTAGCGTAGGTGGCAGCTGTTCATAATATACGTCTCCAGTTGGTTGGAAATGCTTTTCGCGACCACGCCAAGACTCTCAACTACCACATAGAAGCATTGACTTGAATGAAGTTGGTGTTGAAAATCCTGTTCATGTTATTTATGCTGAGTGCAGTGCAGTGCAGTGCAGTGTGGTGTAGTGTAGTGGAGTGGATTGCAGTAGATCTCCACACTGGTTTCAGGTTGATGAAGACCTGTCTTGCTGTCCTCCCCATCCTGGCTGGCTTCGACACCCTCATCTGTGCCGCCTGTAGTTGAAATGATGCTGCCTGAGCAGGTAGGCAGGTGAAAGAGACCACCTCCTTTACATTTCTCCATTCATGATGATTGATACTTGTTGCTGTTTTTGTTGCGGGTTGGGTATCTTCATCACCTCTGTCTTCCCCACACTCACTTGAAGTCCCATCCTCCCTCCCCTGCCTCTTCTGTCAACTGGTTGCTTTCTGCCTGTAGATCTTCGACTTTGCATGACATTAGATATTAGACATAAATTATGATGATTGGCGGCGGTGGCGGTGAAATCCAAATCTTCTTCTGAGGTCTTTCCATCGGTTCACACGGTGTGTGTGTGTCCATCTTCTCACAACTCCTCACGGTTTACTGCATGATCCAGTCCAGTCCGGCCCGATCGACCACAATCAGGAAGATCATTGGTGATGGTAGGCGGCAGCCACTTCTCACTCCTGTCTTCACTTCAAAGGCGTCCCCGACCATTCCATTGTGAATCACTCGACTGGCGTGTGGCATCATATAGCAAGCATATAGCTGGTGTTCAATGAGATTCATAAAGATTTGTGGCACCAGAATCGTAGTGTTGAAACAGCAGCCTGACAAATCACTTCTCGGTCGACGCTGTCGAAGGAATGCCTTTTCAAAATCGATGAAGTTGAGGTGAGGTAGAGAGTTGACTTCCATTGTATACTCTGTTCTATGATGATGTGTAGTGTGGCGTTGCAATTTGATCCGCACATGATTTCTTCTCACTGAAATCAGTCAGTCAGCCAGCCAACCAGCCAGCTAGCCAGACAGCCAGCCAGCCAGCCTACCTGCCTGTCTGCCTACCTGCCTGCCTGCCAGCCTGTTCCGGTGGTAATTTTGAATCCAGAACACCTTTCAATCTCTCCAGGATGATGCGGCTCAGTGTTTTGCTTTGAGTGGACATGGTTGGAGTATGGTTGCGTGCCAGTTGTTGCAGAGACTTAGGTCTCTCTTCCTTGGGAGTTTGACAAGGTAGCACTTCTCCCAGTCGAAAGGTGACCTTCCTACCTCCATTCCTCCCCTCCTTCCTTCCTTCCTTCCTTCCTTCCAACACTTCTGCAGTAGTGGTGTGAGCATGTCCACTGTTGCCTCTGTGTATGTTTTCAGTTCTTCTGGAGGAATTCCATCTGGTCCTACTGCCTTCCCGGATTTCAGCGACTTTATGGCGTTGAGGACTTCACTTCTGGTTTTGTCGGAGGGCTTGTGTTCACTGGTAATTCAATGGCTGGGTTGGGCTGAGCTGAGCTGGGCTGCTGGTGGTGGTATTTGTTGTGGACGAGTTGCAGCTGGTGGTGGTTGTGGTGATGGTGGTGATGTTGGTGTTGATGGTCGATTCAGGAGTTTGATGAAGTGGTCAGCTCATCGTTTCCCTTGTTTCTCCTCCTCGGTAACTAGCTCTCCTTCACCATCTCTCGTTGGCTTCATCTGAGTTGATCTCTCCCATTCCACATGGTAACCTGGTTGTTTGATATAATCTTGTCAGGTCTCTCTCTGTCTCTCCTACCTGCAGCCTATTCTACTTGAATTGCAAGTGTGTCGTAGAAGTGTCTTTTATCTTTGAGCACACTCTTCTTCAATTCTCTGTACAGTGTAGTGTTTCATATATTGTACCCAGTTCTTTTCGCCTTTCATCCCTGTTCATCATGTGACTTAGATGCATAACATAGTGTAACTTAACCAAATACATCTATTAAATGTTTCTTGTGAGGTGTACAAGAGTTTATTTTGTACGTTGAGTTTAAATCACTTTTCGTTTCACAGAACATCATCTGAACCTCAGTGAGAACTAGAAATGCTTATCTCGTGTTAATTTCAGTTCCTCTAGAAATGAACATTGTCGTGTGCATGAGGAATCGAACTCAGGACATAAAGGTATTCTACTGAACAACAAAATATTCTATAATGAAGGGGACAATAAATATATCATGGCGCATGAATTGGAAAATTTGCCATGGTGTGCAATTATTATCCAAATTACTTGTTGACAGGTAGTATATTATGCATGAAAACAGGATTCATTGAACGTGGATTCGTACGAGTTTTCTTGTGTTAAGTAAAACTCTAAAAGCTCTGTTCTGGAATTAAAATCCTTTTTGTCAAGCGATAGATTCGTTTTTGTTGTGCAGTCTATCCTGTCTATGTTTCACCTACCAGTTACACCTAATAATTTCCGACTATCGATTGCATACTAAACCATACCAGTTTCATTGGACATCTAGTGATTAACAAGTATTCATTATTTTCTCACTGATATACTCTTCTTTTCTTTTCTGAAATGGAAATTACTTTTCCTATTCCGGAAATAATATTGCAGCTTGTAACAACTGATGTGAAACTGGTTATTACTTCAGCAAACGTACTTCGGTGTAAATTATTTGTCAAAAATTTTCCCTTTAAATAAAAATCTCAAAAACAGGGACATAGTGTCTCCTGACAAAGGAAAGTGATGCTGAAACAAAGCCTTTAGTATGCTGTCCCTAAGTTAATGGTAGACTTCAAGCAGCCTTGGTTGGTGACATATTTTGCCATTTTGAAACCAACGTGGATATTAGTCCTTTTTATGAATTTGCATAGTGTAGCAAGAAGACGGAGGTTGTCTGAGAAATGTGATGTGTTCGCGCAAATACATTTCAAATGATCCGGTCACACATTTACTTGTCAAGGCATTTTATATGAAAGATAAAAAAAACAGGGTGTGATAAGGATATGCAAAATTAAGATAACACATGATTTGGGAAAATGTAGGGGTAATAAGGAGGAACTATCAAGACTGTGCACGTAGGTTCATTGAAGCCTTAGCCATACGAAATTTCAAATCCCGTTGTCTTTACAAAACAATTTGCCCTCATCTTAAACCTCCCTTGGTTATCTTTATCTCATTTTAATGCCAAGAGAGGTATGAACATGAATTATTCCTCCTTGTTATCCCTAAATTTTCCAAATCTTGTATTTCAAGTTGTTATTCATCGTAGACTGACATCAGTTGGAGGAACAAAGGGAACCTGGGAGCACTGGACAGCTGTTTCGTCCTAGTATGGTACTCCTCAGCAGTGCTCACCCACGACACCGTCAGGGACCGAACCCGCAACCTTCAGGTTCTACGGCCAGCGTGTTACCATTGAGCCGCTGGGTCATAGTCCAGTGGTCCATATTTCTAACTTCGATTAGCTCACGATATAGTGCAACCGACGAAGCAGCTGTCCAGTGCTCCCAGGTTTCCTTTGTTCCTCCAACTGATATCAGTCTACGATGAATAACAACTTGAAATATTTCCAAATCTCCAAGACTCCCTCAAAAATCTTGTATCATCTTAATTTATTTACCTTATCACACCCTTATTTTCACCTTTCATATTAAATACCTTGACAAATAAATGCGTGACCAGATTGTTCGAAATTTATTGCGCAAATACATCACATTTCTCAGATAACTTCTGTTTTCTTATTACACTATACAACATGGATATTACAATTTTTCTGAAAACTGGTTCATTTTCTTCATTCTTTTCCAGGGTCAAAGTGTATTGCAAGCACCAAAGACAGTTGATGAGTTTATGCCAAACGTAATGACTGATTCAGCTGGTACAAATTATTATGATGACTCAAATCAAATGTTATATGTGATTCTTAAAGGTGAAGCAATTATTACTGTCAAACTGTCGCAGTTGGTTAAAGTATCTTTTGGTTTACCTGCTATGACTGTTGATCAATTTTTTGGATCAGAAGTTGTATCGAATCTAGCAAAGTTTTTAGGAGTAAGTAATATTTCTCCTGGATAACACTTATATAGATTTATGATAATATTACTGTATATCTTTCAGTTTCAGAAAAATTTTATTTTTGAGACGAGCAAATTAAAAAAATTAACTTTGTACGTCAAATTTCGTTTTTTCGACCAGTTCAACTTAGCTATTTATTTCACCTTCTTTTTAAATTTGTTCATAGATTTAAGTCGGAGTTTTAGAACTCTTCTGATGTACATTGTACACCTTTAATGAGTTACACTGAAAGATCATTTGTTAAAATGACATTAGTTAAATCCTTCAAAATAAACCATGAAGTGGGTAAAACTATGGATGATATCATCATGAATGTAGTTACATGCACAACTTTGATGCACATGAAGAAACGTAATGTGATATTTCTACTTAATATGTTATCAGCTTCATATTCATTTGACAGATTTTTTGTGATTCGAAGTCCATTTTCCATTGACAGCAAATAAGGCTGTGTAAATATTAACAGTAAGACAATGTGTTATTGCTTGTATTATACCGCTGCTGATTGGACCGAACTGATCAGTTTCTATTGGCATACGGGCTCCTGTGGGGATGACTCGGTATACCTGCGTTCTAGTTATAGTAAAGATGGATAGTGGCTAGCAGTGGAATCCAGGATGCGCTCCCGAGTCCGAATCCCAGTGGGAACGATATCACTCACTGGGATGCAGGTACATCCAGTTGACGAATCTCAAATAGGACGAAATGCGTATCCTGGACTCCACAGCTAGCCACTATACATCTTTACTATGAATAGTAAGACAGGGGTTTATGAATGAACATTAGAAGACATATAAGTGAACAATATTATTTTCAATAGCTCTCATCAGGCTTTACGCTAATATACATAAAATTATATATATATAAAACATCCAACCAATCATGATGGATTCTTCAGCCTGTGGTAAGTAGGACATGAAGCATGCAAATAGTAGATGCCTAGACTATCATAATAGCGATGGGAATAATTAACTCACTAATGATAATAATAATGGGAACAGCATGGCACTGCAAACATTTAGACGAACAATATAGGTCAAAACTGACAAAAATAAAAGTTACGTAGTAATAAGTGATGAAATGTGTAGATAATCAAAATCGAAGCAAATAAACATGTATGAAAGGGGTGACAAAAGGGGAAGGGAATGAACTGAATTTCTTTTTGTTAGAAATATATTTTCAATGAATGCTTACACACAATGCACAAATTTTTCATGAATATAATGAATTTATCTTTGAAGTTAACCTCGCCTGGTTAACTAGTTTACTAGTTACTAGCCGGTCCTAAGCCCGGGTAAAGAGGGAAGGTTGGGCATAGGGCTAGCAACCCTACCCCGTAAAACAAATCTAACCGCTAAAGAAACTTCAAAGCACAAACAAAATATAAAAAATGAAAACAAACTTATTCCCCGCTGGAATCGGAGAGGCGAAATGACGCCAGTTGGTGAAAGCCTTCGGGAAGCCAATTGGCCGATGTGTCTTCTCTCGATGAAAGCGAAAGTAAACGTGGGGACATGGAATGTCCGCACGATGTTTGAACCCAGTAAGGCAGCCCAGATTGCAAGGGAGATGAGAAGGTATAACATCGAAGTGCTTGGGATTTGCGAAAGCAGATGGAATGGGAGTGGACTCTCCAAACTGTCAACTGGAGAATCAATAATCTACTCCGGTCACCCAGACGCCAACCACGAGCACACTGAGGGAGTGGCTATCATGATGTCCTCAAGAGCATCGAAGGCTCTCATGCAGTGGGAACCAATCTCCTCCAGGATCATGACAGCAAGATTCAACTCAAAAGGAAGAAAGGTCACAATCATACAATGTTATGCACCTACAAATAATGCAGAGCAAGAGAAAAAGGAGGATTTCTACAGACAACTTCAATCAACACTGGACAAGACGTCAGTTGGCGATATCAAAATTCTGATGGGCGACATGAATGCCAAACTGGGAGGGGACAACACGGGAAGAGAACTAACCATGGGTCGAGAGGCACTAGGTGAAATGAATGAGAATGGAGAATTGTTTGCAGAATTCTGCGCATTCAACGATTTGGTGATTGGAGGCAGTGTGTTCAGGCACAAAGATATCCACAAAGCGACATGGATTTCACCAGATGGACACACTAAAAATCAAATCGACTTTATCTCAATCTCAAGAAAATGGAGACGCAGTCTACTTAACACGAGGTCAAGAAGAGGAGCAGATGTAGGTTCAGACCACTACCTAGTGCAAGGAACCTTCCAAATCAAGTTAAAAGCCTTCAAGGAAGCTGGTGATAGACCTCAATTCAAGTACAACACTCGGAAACTGAAGGATGAAACTACAAAGGAGATCTTCAAGGCAGCCATCAAGACAAAATGGGAGACATCGAGCAACATCCCTGAAGAAACCTGTGTGGAAGAACACTGGAAGTCTTTGAAAGCTATGTGGAAAGAAACCTGCACAACAGTATTAGGAAGGAAGAAGGTGGAAGACAAGGAATGGATCTCGACGGATACCTGGAAGCTGATAGAGGAGAGGAGGATGGTGAAGCGGAAGATAAACCAGTGCAAGGATGCTCAACGACAAGAGGAACTGAGCACAATGTATAAAACACTGGACAAAGAAGTGAAGAAGAGTGCACGCAACGACAAAAGACACTTCTACGAAACACTGGCAAGTGAAGCAGAACAGGCTGCAGGTAAGAGAGACCTGACGACATTGTATCAAATAACCAGGTTGCTGTCAGGGAAGAGACCAACACAGATGAAACCAATAAAAGATGAAGAAGGAAATTTAATTACAAAAGAAGAGAAACAGAGGAAACGATGGGCCGACCACTTCAAGAAGCTCTTGAATCGACCACCACCTGCACTTCGTCCAGAAATACCACCTGCAGCCGCTGAACTACAAGTGAACATTAATCCCCCAACGAAAATGGAAGTCCTGAACGCCATAAAGCTACTGAAATGCGGGAAAGCAGCAGGACCAGATGGAATACCGCCAGAAGCACTGAGAACAGATGCAGAGACAACAGCGGCCATGCTCACACCACTATTGCAGAAGGTGTGGAAGGAAGAGAAGGTACCTGACGATTGGAAGAAGGGTTACCTTGTCAAACTGCCGAAGAAGGGAGACCTCAGTGCTTGCAAGAACTGGCGCGGAATCACTCTCCTGTCCACCCCAAGTAAAATATTAAGCCGCATCATCCTGGAGAGGCTAAGGGATGCACTGGATTCAAAACTACGACCGGAACAGGCAGGCTTCAGGAAGTACAAATCATGTGCAGACCAAATTGCAACGCTTCGCATCATCATAGAACAGAGCATAGAATGGCAATCACCTCTCCACCTCAACTTCATCGACTTTGAGAAGGCCTTTGACAGCGTCGACCGAGAGGTAATTTGGAAACTGCTTCAATACTACGGAGTGCCGCAAACCTTTATCCGCCTCATTCAACAACTATATGAAGATGCCACATGCCAAGTAATCCACAATGGGAAGCTCAGTGATGCCTTTGAAGTGAAGACAGGAGTGAAACAAGGTTGCCTACTATCCCCCATGATATTCCTTATTGTGGTGGACTGGATCATGCAGCAAACAGTAGGCAGCGAGAAGAGGGGGATACACTGGACGACGGAAAAGAACCTAGAAGACTTGGATTTCGCCGATGACTTATGCCTAATGTCACATAAACTTGAAGATCTGCAGGCAAAAACTAACAAGTTGATAGAAGAGGCAGCGAAGACGGGACTTCAGGTGAATATAGAGAAGACAGAAGTGATGAAGATACCGCACCACCACCATCAACAACAACAAACTCCAATCACTGTCAACGGGAGAAACTTAAAGGAAGTAACCTCCTTCACTTATCTAGGAAGCACTGTTTCAACTACAGGCGGGACGGACGAGGACGTCAAAGTCAGAATCGGAAAAGCAAGACAGGCATTCATTAGCCTGAAACCAGTGTGGAGATCTTCTGCACTCAGCATGCGGAACAAGATACGGATTTTCAACACCAACGTCAAGTCAGTGCTCTTGTATGGCTCAGAGACTTGGCGCGTCACGAAAGGTATTTCCAATAAACTACAGACATTCATCAACAACTGCTTACGCTCGCTGCTGAAGATCAGATGGCCAGAAAAAATAAGCAACAAGGAACTCTGGGAACGAACCAACCAAGAACCTATCACGCAACAAATATGCAGGAAGAAGTGGAGATGGATTGGCCATGCACTGAGAAGGCCGACTGAGGACATCACGCGTCAGGCCCTCGAGTGGAATCCCCATGGGAAGCGACGAGTTGGACGTCCGAGGGTGACATGGAGGAGGTCGTGCGAGCAGGAAATGAGAGCTTCTGGGCTGTCGTGGGACCAGGTTCAAAAGATCTCAGAGAACAGAGGTCACTGGAGGCGTGCTACTGAAGCCCTATGTTCCACTAGGAACCCAAGGGACTAATAATAATAATATAATAATCTTTGAAGTTGTTTATTAGGTTTTCTGTGGCTAAGACATCGATAAAGGCTGCACAAACTTTTTCTGCAGACAAAGACCAGGTTTATTTTCCCTAATTTCTATAGCCTAAGCTGTGTGTAAAATGAGAGTGCGAATTCTATTTGAATGATTTTGTGGAATGCGATATATGATTTTGAAGGCTTTGGTCTTGTCCGTCACATGACCACTGTCGACCAAATGTGACACAATTGAACTTCGTATTGACTTCATTTGTCCCTTTCCTAGCCATGACGATAAGTGCTCAGTAACACGTTTGTCAAGCTGCCTAGTTGTACGCTTAATGCAGCTTTCTCCACAGGAGCAGCTGTATAGATAAATGCACATAGAAGTGACAGAACTGGGTAACTTGTCTTTTGTCTGACCAACAACTAACAGCTGACTAGGAAATGATAAGCAAAGGTTAGCAGCATAGCAGATTCTTTTGGTGGGTGCAGACAGACTGTGGAATGAACATTCAACTCAAGTAGTGATCAAGAATTCAGCGTTTTAAAAAGTTTACCTCTCTGCTTACGAGAAGTTTACATTTCTTACTGAGATATTCATTTGTTAAATGTAATTTGAAAGTAGCTGAATATCAAGATGTATTAAACACTCCTTGTAAACTGTTGGCACGGTTAATGTTTTGTAATTTCACTGAGTCTTCATGTTGGACATTAGGAGTCAGTCTATTAGAAAATATAGATCAAGGGTACATACTTGTCGGCACCCATTAGCAAGGCGCACCGTCAATCATATAAACACTTGTCTTCTTTCCGTGACAATTTTAAACGTTTTCACGTACATACCTTCCATGGAAACTGAATTTCTAAGTTTCTTGTTCTTCTACTGTATTTCTGAAAATGAGTCATTTGTTATGAAATGCAACTGACATTCATATTTATACTAGTTAAAAAAGTGGATAAATGAAGTGAGTAAACCTAACTACAGTGTTGGAAGGAAATTTCTATCCTACTAACTAAAAGCTACTTCTAAAGTTTCTCCCAGTAAACCTTGTGTAGACTTTTCACATTACTTTTCTTCATCATCTAAATAAAAGTTACAAACTGTTTGTCCTTTTGTTTAAATTTATAGTGTTTGACTAAAACACTGAAAGTATTTACTGATAGTCTAAGTAAAGTTGGATACTTAGGTTGACCTATGTCCAATAAAGTATGATTTTTTTCTGTCTTTGCAGATACCTGCTGAAAATATACGCGTAGTCAAGGTGGTATCTGAGTCTAGTACAGTTTCAGGACGTCGGCGACGTCGATCAACATCTGGTGTGTTCGTTGAACTGGAAATTTCCTCACCACCTGTTGGAAATTTATCCAAAGCCTTGGTACCAAATGTTACATCATCTGGAATGACACTCATGGAAAAAATATCTTCAACGGTTGTTACCATCGTACAGACAGGTTTACTTGAGAAAGGTAAAATTAACTTATATGCATAAAATTTCAAGTGTATGGAGGGTCATTCTCTTCGACTATTGTAATGAGTCTCATTTCTAGGTTGCTATTTATACAGAAAAGGGCAAAACTGTCTTCATTTTAGTAATTAATGTAATGAATTATATGAAATGGAGACCTTTTACGGAAAAATGAAGGCAGAGAAGGAGGTCTTCCTTCTGATTACATCATACATTTCGTTCCAGATGAATGTGGGAACGGATGACATGATGTTTAAGCAATCAAGCCTTGGACAGGATTATTCTTAGTTACACGAGATTTTCACCATTAGTTTCCGAATTTAAAACATAAAAAATATAACTTAAAAACGTATGGATTTACACTCAGTGAACTTAGTAAATCTAATCCACAAGGTTACGCTGTCATCTGTTACTGTGTCATCTCAGCAACATACATGAAATGGTCGCATATGAGGAGGAAGATCAGTTGTATGGTAGTTAATCTAGTCCTGTTCCAACGGTTCCGGTCGCAAAACTTTTTTGACATAACTATTCCACCTAGGTAATTTACTTGGTCAAACAGTTCGATCTAGTAAAACAACAGAGAATTACAGGCATATCAATAAATGGTATTCCACCTAGGGTTGAAAAACTAAGTACGAATAGTGAAAAGGTTGCGATTCTCTTCAGTTTGTAAATTTTGTTGACTAATAACTTATTTTTCAAAGGGGTTATAGAGTTTCTAGTAGTATGACTACTCGGGTAAGACGACTGGTGAAATACAACTTCTGGCTGTAAGTCGCTTAGTTACAATCCAACTTTTGGTGTGCTTCATTGTCTAACTTGGCGTCAGCATGAAGATGCAATGCAATTTGATTGGCACAAATTGCTAATGTGTAACAGCTATCATAACCAGACAGTCAGAAAATGAAGAAGCCCCTAAATACATCCAAGGTATGTGCATAAATAATACATTATTGAAACAAGAACCTTCTGTACAGTTACTATATATATATATATTCAAAAATGATACAGCTGAGGTTTATTTCCGGTAAAAATGATGAACGTTATATAAAATTATTTATGACAACGGTTTTGTATCCTATGAGCTTGGGTAGTAAATCATCAACGCTCTATCATCGGTATAACTGAGATCATTTGAAGTTAATGCCAATGATGTCACCAAGCCCGGCTTTAAAACGTTCATGATCAGATACCTAAAGTGAGAGAAAACCAAACCACTGTCATCCTCATTTTAGGCTACAAGTCTCTTATATTATCTTACTATCAATTATGCTTTAGTAGTACTGATGAGTTGTGTTGAAGGGCGTACAGGTTACAATCGAATTTCAATGTTTAATAATGTACTTGACAGCGTTTGATTCATATAATTAACAGGTCAATTTCAGTGACGATATTATGAAAGAAATTTACTGGTGAGTGATGAACGAAGCAAAAAACCCAGTTTGCCTCAGCTTAGTGGTACCTGATCGAGAAAAAGTGAATCAGTAATTTAATTATTGTTCTGAGAGCATTGTGAAAAAATGATCACTCCACAGATGTTTTTCATCACAAACTGACATCAACTTGTGAAGAGTTGAAAGCCAGAACGCCGAACAGTTTCTATTTTGGATAACTGCCTTAAATAAATTACCTCTAAATAAGCAATAATTCAACACCGGCTGATTACTGGATTCCATATGGATTTCCTAAATTTTTGATGGAAAGCCATGACTTATGACATCAGCTAGGTCAGGAATGAAAACTGATGCTTACCAATGGATGAATGCAACTAACTAGTTGAGACTGGAAAATGTTGTCATTTGGATTATGACCTAGTGGGTTAGTAGTAATTTCTTAATAGCTAAATAGGGAGGTAAATGGTTGACAGTGATTGGAATTTTGTTGTTACTTGGCGTTTGAAGTGGGCGGTCCAGGGTTCGAGTCTTGGTAGGAATAACGTCGCTCACGGCGAGGCAGGCACATTCAGCCTACGAGTCCCAAATGGGACAGAACATACGTCCTGGACTCCATTGCAAGCCACTATCCATCATTAGTATGAAGTGGTTGGAAATGTCAGGAGTTTCAAATTGAAAAGTAATAACTGCCTAATTTTCCATGATTTACAACTGATCTTTGGTTAGTGTCAGTTTCTGGTTAAAATATGGTCAAATGAATAGTTTGAACTTGAGAATTACCGACCAGCTATTCAGAAAAGCATTAGCTTGGTATCACTCACTATGAAGGAATTCTACAAGTTTTGTGTTGGTGGAGATTTTTTCAAATCATTACAGTGGTTTATTTATATAGCATCCAATAGGTGGATTACTACTTATGTGTTTCTGGAGCTCTGAAACCATATTATTTTGGTTCAGGTTAATAATTAAATTAGTAAAATTTAACCAAAAAATTTATAAGGAAACGACAGCATATATAGTGTGATTCAAATGTGAAGCGAATGAGATCATTCGTATATTGCAATAACAAAATTCAGTTGATATTTATGGCTACACGTATTCAAAATTTAAAAATTTTGTAACCATATATATATCTCACAAAATTAACACTTCCATTTGGATATCATCTCTCCAATACTTTTCGTATTGATAAATATTTCTGAAGTTAGAAGTTTAACATTTACTCACTATATATCCTTTGAAATATACACAAAAGTACTTTGTTTCCTCTCACAGTTATTAACGCAACAGTTGTTGATGTATCGGTTCAAAAACCCACACCTCTACCAGGCAGTGCGTTATGGGCTGCTCAGGTTTCAGGAACATCGAATAATTCACAAACACCAGCGGTCATTCAGGTCCCTGTGAAGGCAAAGATTAAACTCAATGTTCTACCAGGATATGGTTCAGTTGTTGAAGGAGTTCCATTCAACCTGGAAGTTAGCACGTTGGACTCATCAGTAAGTATTTATTGAATGTGGTTAACCCTTTTTGAACAAAAGACATTGTACTCCGTAGAAATGATAATTATAGGAATCGAAATGACTAGAAATTAGATACACAAATGATGACGGTAAAGAAGGTTTCACACACATCAGGTAAATTATACAACTAAATACAATAAGCTTCATACTCACTTGATATTAACGAATAACCCACAGTTATGGTTAACTGAGTAAAGCAAATAAAAGAGGAGATGAAGCTGTGGTTCAAAGATCGAACAAAGGTCATTATCATAGCTCTCGTGTATCACGGAACTGTTCGAGTGTTTCCTATAAACACAAGGTCTTAAAGAACACTTAAGTATTATATGGTTTTAGAGTTTTTGGCACAATTCTAAGCGTTGTGGAAATGAAATAAAACAATTAGGAATTTTTTCAGACCAGTGCCTGCGACGTTATCAGCAGTTTTTATATTATCTTTCCAGGTGATAACAAACACGTTTATGCCTTCCAGTAAGCTTACAACACAAAATGTAGATAATATCTGTTAGGAAACTTAAGGACATACTTTACAGACAAATGACTTTTACTTCTCAATGCTGATGCATGGAATCACAGTTAACAGATGAAACAGAAGCTGATAAAAATAACTGCAAAGTAATACTATGACTACTACGCTTTGGTTTAGGATTCAACGAGAATACCTGTCCGCTACATTTATTTTCCTTCTGATCATAAAATAAATATAATAACAGAGTGGAATATATAGGAATGAGTTTCATATCTTTGATGTGTTTGAATAGTAATTTTGGAAGTTCTTTTGTGGGCGAGACAGCACACAAGGATACAGTATCACTGTCTGCTATATTAAATAAACAAATCTAATATGAAAGGTAATACTTTCACTTATACCTCCCTGAATCATTACCATCAGTTATTAGTGTACAGAATCCGGGTTGAGTCAAAAATAAAACTGCATGAATTGACCTGAAAGTCAATCACTTTGCAGTACACTTTGTTCACTAGCAAAGAATTCTTACCATATTTTACAAACTTTACAATGGCTGACATCGTATTACCATTCACTTACTAACAATCGACGTTTAAAGTAAAATTCAAGAATATCCTAACACTTTTGCAGCACGGAGTATCACATCAAATCAGATGCCATCATGACAAAAGAGAGCCATCGCAAGCTATACTTACCTTAGACATTAAACTAATCTTATCCAAGAAAAAACTGCGAGAGATAATTCAAAGATGAAAATGTTCTTTACGAAGAATCCCTTTGAAAACTATGCATTCGTATTTACATTTATAATGAGGAAATATGTCCGTCAACTCAAAGTCACCTAAAATTGTTCATAAAATTACATGGAGATTATATGTTCATCAGTCATTAAATGGCCCACACTAAGTGATCAAAAATTTATTTTAGAATGTATAGGTGAGTTGCTTTTTCAATTACCAAGTGATTACCTAATAATCCGCAAAGTGATAAAAGAGGTAAGGAAAGTGGGACATTAATAGGAAAACTGAAATTTACATTTACTCTCTAAGGAAAGAGGATGGAAATAATACTGACTAGTTATGATAAAATGAAAGATTCCGTAGGAAGATGAAGACCATACTAAAATAACAGACCGAATGAACTATTTTTGACGTAGAGATTAGGCTGGAACTAATAAACCACCAAGGCTACTGATTTTTAGGTTGAAACGCTGCAGCCTCCTTTGAAAATGTTCGGTTTAACCACATAAATGACCCTGAAGAAAGAGTTTGGTGAATAGAGGTTAACCAAATCTTCGTGAATCAACCTAGTGATTGATTTGCATTCGACTGTAGACAACCATGTAGGATAGTGTTCGGAGATGCCTTCAATAGTACATGCACTTTATGCCTTATATACACATCTCCGCAGGAGTTTTTGAATAGAGTTCACTCAAGGCGGTAGTTCATCCTTCACGGAGTGTCGAATTATAGATTGGCTGGAGAAAGCAATCCATAGTTGGGTAGGAAAAAGGTTATGCTCAATGTTTTACAAAATCGACCGTTTAATATATTCGCCTTTGTGGTGGATATTTTCCAGTGGAAATACTGTTAAGACGACTGGCATTTGGAAAACTACTCAGCTGTGATAAATGTTAACATCAACCATACAGTTTTTAGATTATTTGAAAAAACATCTTGCTGTTGGAGTTCAAGTATGTCTGTATATCTACTTTGACATTAAGATTTATCCTTTGAATTTATTTTTGTGCATAAGGACCTATTACGAATAATCTGACATTACGTGTTCGTAGTTTTCAGATAACTAGCAGTGTATTTTTAGAAACAAAAGCTACTTTAATGCATCTTATCATGGAGTTCTTTTTACAGCAGATTTGTGCCAATAGCATGAACAGAAAATGCTAATAGATGATGGTATGGATTTTTTATAACGATAGATAATCGTAATTGAAATACGCAACAATATAAGTTAATTTCATCTAGAATGAGTTTGTTGTTTTGATCTTTCTAAAAAATAGTGAAAAAACTGTAGGTGTTTCCAAAACCAGCGGAGGTGTACAACTATAAATTAGATTCTTCAAATAAGAGAACATCACACTGATGGATAAATTGGTAGAAAAAACTAAGTCATCAAATGCTTCCAACATTTCTGAATATTACGCCATAACTCGTAGTGAAATGTACAAGCGTACTGGTGAATTCGCTCTCCTCATTTCACAGAGAAGTGACTCCCTATATTACTTTAACTAAGTAGTCTGAATATTGTAGTCACAAAACGTTGATTGAAAAGGTTTCGCTGCTGAGCAATTTCAGTTAAGTAAGTGGTACAATGCAGTGTTCGTGAGGACCTCTCACAGATGGATTTGCTAACCATAGGGATCAGGTATCTGGATAATTTTGAAAAGTCAATGAGGTAAAGCCCTAAATGTAAGCTAGTGTTTGACTTCAAAGTAACATGCGTCATAATAACTCCATATCATCTCAGCACTCTACGGAGAGCCTTTGAATCTGTTTATTTGGCTTCGATTTCCTACCTTCTTCCACCAACACCGAATGAGTGACTATTTTTGTTTTTCTAGGCCTTCCCCGGTTTGCCAGGTCTAGCAAACATCACCAAACATGACAGAGGCTTCTAATAAGGCTCGTGTGCATGAAAACGGCTATGCATTCCTACTAACAAAGAAGAAACCGAAATCTCGGGTGTCTACGCCTGCCTCCCAGCAGGAACGGCTGAGAGTGCCCCGCCTGGGTGTCCCACTAAAGCCGACTGCATCTCACACTGATCAGTCTACTAATATTAATCATCTTCCCACTGTTGTTATATGATTACACCCAAGCATTCAGTGCAAACTGCATGTGCGGTTAGCAGACCAGGTTCAGGAGTCAAGTGGCGACTACTTCCGGAGACCCCATACCCCAGTCATAAGGGATGATACAAGCTTCAATCCATTGTGTCCTTTAGTGGCCGCTTCAATCTACTGCTTGCTCCCACCAACACTCAATATATGGCTACTTTAAAGGTGAAGTTCTCTGCTTCTCTGCTTCCAGAGTTTACTGACAAAAAATATTGTTCTACTAACTTAATTTTTAGTTAGCTGATGAGAGGATGTGGCTTGTATTATTGTTTTGCTCAGGTCACAGTGGCCACAGGACTATTAGTTAACAACATGAATAACGGATTTGAACTGAAGCTGTAATCAAGTCTCCTTAAAAATATTTGCACTAACCTTATCTTCCCTAATTATCCGGTTATGGTTTTCGATTTAAAACTTAAGATCTATTACCAGATAGGTCTAACTTTCATGTCTGCATCATGTTAATCAAACAACCACTGTCAACTTTGAAGTACTGAATACTTTTTCGGACGCTGAGTAACATTTTGACTTGCAGAATCAAAGTAATTATCTTCTAACTTCAATAAAAACAAATTATTCTTACTGTTCACTGTGAATCAAGATTATATTTCTCGTAAGTTTCATTCTGGACTTGGTATTTGATATCCCATTCAAAATTGATTGCTTGCTAGGCTACTCAAGACATTTCTTTGGTTTAATCACCATCTCACCATACTATTAGGTATCTCAGAACTAAAGCAACGTAACACGACATAAATCCTCTACTTGATATTTTGTTGTAGGGTAACACAGTCAGACCACTTGGTTCAAACACAAGTATCTGGGCATATGAATTGTCTCAGCCGAATGCAGTTTCTCCTGTCAAGGTGTCAAGAACAAACTTTTCAGATTCCGAATCAGGTACAGCTTTAATTTCTAACCTCATATTCTCGAGAGCTGGACAAGCTAATCTCTTTCTTTCGGTAAGTAAAACTGTATTATTTAGAAAATTATATATTTTTCAAGAAAGTTGATGATATGTTTTTCTACTCTGATATCTATCTTTTAAATTCAAAGTAGTTTAGAAATTTTCATCAAATAATCAAGTTTAAGAATTCTTTCAATTAACCAGAATAAATTTATACTGTAACTTTATGTGATTTTTGGATGATTTTGTCTCCACACTGATAAACGTTGTCGTCAATCAGTAACAGACATTTAAGGATTCATCCGACCGCGGTCCGGATTTTCATCTCACCTTCAACCATCACCCAGTATAAATACTAGTCTACCAAACTGCAGCTATCTCAGATGGTCAAATAATAATTTAAGGAGTCATTTGAAATCGTCTGAAAACACTAATTTTCTACATCAATATAAAATGACAAAAGTTTTAAAAATTGAACTACCTTTTATCCGTTCGTTTCACTAAGGTTCTTGAAGTTATAAAAAGGAGGTGTAACGCAGATGTTTTGCAAACTGAAAAAAGACAGTGCAAGAGTGTAAAATAGAATGTGATTACTTCAATCAAATCAAAATCCACGTACATGGATCCTCCTTCACTTGATAGTTGAACACATAAATATTGATAATTCTAACCTATTACAATTAAACTGAAGACAGCGAGTCTTTTCCTTCGTGAGCTTGAACAAATGACTGTGTTGAACCATATAGAATGTCTCCATTTCTGTTTAAGTAATATATTCTGAATAGAATCTCCCTCCAGTACTCTTACATTATGTGAGTGGTAGATACACCAAGTGTTATATGAAAATATAAGCCAACTAACTTTTTAACGCTACCGAATAATTCTCTGTTTCCATTGAGAGTTTTAAACATGAAAGGCATGCAAAGCTGTTGAGTGTTTTGAAATCACTTGGGTTTAACAGCAAATACACAGAAAAAAGTAAAATTGGAATTCATGCGTAAATTTTATCAGGTGATAGTAGCTGTAGCTTGAACAATGGCTGAGTTTTAGGCAAAACTTTAATTTGTACTTGATACAGGCAAGACACTTAATTACAGTTTATCACCTAACATGGTTAACATTTGTCGCTTTTAGTTCTTCCAATAATGTATTGGCTTGAATACTTGAATGAAGAAATAATCTTTGGAGTTGGCTTAGAACTGACAGTCTGCGTATCTTTATTCCACCTCTGTTTGGGCTTTGCATCCAGCCTTCATAACTTATTTTTATACTTTTTTTCACAATCAATTTGTAGTTTTCCCTTGGTCATTTCTTGTGTAATTTTCAGTATGATTCTAATAAAACACATATCACCCAAGAAGTTTGAAAATAGGTTGCACTATATTTTCAAGGTGATCTGTTATCGTTCATTTTTAAACACAATTACACGTATTTCATGAATCATCCAGTAGTTATTATTATTTAAGCAACCAACTTTAGGAATTTTTAGTTTTCTTCAATATTTATTATATCAGACCTTTGGAAAGTAGCTCCCGTCTTTTATAATCAAGCCTCTTAGTGTTTTATTCAAATAGCCTATTACTCAAGAGTTGTTGTCGTCATGTTATTCTAACCTAATGCGTTGAATATTTATTTCTTATATTAAATATGAGTCCAATTTTATTTTATTCACAATATATCTATTTTGAAGCTTCATCTTATTTCATTTCACAGGTAATTTCACCTAATGATTCTACTCGACTTAACTCATCAGTAAACTTTCTTGTGCAAAAGAGACAGTTAAGTTTAGCTGTTCAACCGATTCAATCTTATTCTGATGACTCGATCATAAAAGTGTCTGTCAATAGAAATATTCCTATCCAAGTAAAAATTCTGGACAAACAAACAAACCTCTTGGCGCAAAATCTAAATTGGCGAGTAAGTCATTATGTGATGGATTTGGTAAACTATTTAAAACCAATCTATTGAATGTCATAATAGTAAGTCTGGTTACTGTGAAGCTGTAAGACATTCTCTTGCAAAGTAGGAGGGTGTAAAATTGATTGAACATAGCCGATTAACATAAGCATATTCACATCTATCTGCCTTGAGGGTTCTATTAAATGAATTTATGAGAAACGTATTTGTATGTGTACATTTCAGTGTACAAAGATCTCAGGAGAGATTTCATCCATTACTAGTAGCCATTATTCTTTGAATAAGTGGTATGAGTCAGTTGGTAAGGGGCACTGGACCTGGTTTTTGTACCTGTTGACTACTATCAGCAAAGCTTATCTGTAGTCTTAAGAGAGTGGACGTTATTGCATAGATTTGAACCCGCCTCAATCAGTGTTGAGGCTAGGGAACTTACCACTGAGCTATTCGTGTCACGATTGACTTGTTGGGGTGGGTGATGTGTACGAATAAGTTCCCAGATGGCAGCTGAGGTAAACATATCCAGTGTCCCGCACAGACCTGAACACTTAAGAGTGGGCAGCTGTACCTACCGTCACCTCATGAGTGATTCTTATGGTCGCTACGAAAACCTACTCCTAACTGCGTCTGAATGTCACTTTTCCCAATTGGCGTTTGATGTAAGTGCATTAGAACAGGAAAGTTTTAATTACCTTTACACTAGTCGTTCAGCTCTTTTTATAATCAATCTTTGTGTCAGTAAATAAAACATTGAACATGAAACTGTTAAAAAACTGCTCTAATGTGCTACGTATGTTAATCTTAACATTCTGTTTGAATGTATAAGTTACGATATGTGAGTTTTTGATAATCATTCAAACCTTATGGCCTTAATCTTGATGCTTCAGTGGGTTGTAGATGTGCACTCCTTAAATATCCCAGACTAAGAGGAGACAGTTATTTTGTCAATACCCCTAAGTTTTCAATGGTCTTACAAAGTATATAAATCCTTCATGTAAAAACCACTTTGAAATCACGCAACCTACAGGAATCACCAAATAAATAGTTTTATAAGTATGGTACTCTTGAAAATGTTTTTCCTAGGGAGATCGAAACGTCTAGGAATAATACAAAATATTTTTTTATTTGCTCTAATATACTACTCCGGGATTACACAAGTAAAATACACCTTATACGATGAATGATTCAGTTGTTGCTAAAAATGTGATTTATTATCTTTAGAATCTTGTGTGGAATTTCACCGGAAGTATTTGTCCTGATAGTAGGAAACCGAAGAATTCAGCTACGAATGCATCCTCTTCATTCTTGTATTATCCAAATAAGACTACGAATGGTTTCAACTGGACAATTGGTGGATTTCAATCATCTTGGGTGTATGTTTATTGTATTGGGGCTACTGCTTACCTCAATGACACCACAACAAGACAACCTGATTATGACATAATTCCAAAGAAAATCAAAATTCAAGTTAATCCACAAAACTACACTGAACCTTCTAGAAATGCAAAAAAACCATTCAGGTTCAAAACTACTGGCAGTTATGCGAACATGCTACAACATATTGACGAGTTCACTGCTGCCGTAGAGTCTGAGCTTTACACTCGGTTTCCAAATGTAGTATTTGAAAATATAACATTCAGTGAAGGTAAGAAAACAGTCGTAAAATTTTTATGTATTCATAAGTTTTAATTTTTTTATGTCATTAGACATTTTATGTCCTCATAAAAAGAAGTAAATCAAAGAAAACACTTCTTTTTCTCTGAGATCATTTACTAAACTCATACATTCTTATTTTTAAGTAATGGAAACAAACAACAGGCTACTGTTAATTACTAAGATAAGTCGAATTCTCCAATGATTGAAGGTAGAATAAAAGGATGATTCTAAAGATAGAAAGAAGTCACTGAGTAACTCATAATTATTAAAGCCATCGTAAAAACAGTGATTAAACAGACCTCCTACATACAATGATCGAAACTGCCAGTGTCTCTACTGTTCACTAAATAAAAGATCGTACTTCGTTCAGGTCGTTTATTTTGACATGTTAGATCATCTTGAAGGTAGTTTGTAGAGGAGCCACATGGCTAAAATTGACTAGGCAGTCAAAATCCAATTATTGGTCGGTATCCATTCTTCCCTCGAAAACTATACAGCATAATGCTCAGAAATCCCCTTGAAAAGTTCACACTTCGCTCGGCAAGCATACTTAGCCAAAGAGAAGCAGTTGGACTAGTGAACTCACTTAGTGGTGGCTCAGAAAGGGAGTTTTTCTGCTGCACACTTGGGACTCATTTACTGGTGAGAGAAGGTGATTGATAACAATGCTTGCGAATACCCACCGATTGAAGTGATATATGTTTGGTTCATGTCACAGTGGGAACACCATAAGTCACTGGGATGTAGGGACATATGGCTGACAAGTCCTAGATAGGACGAAACGTGTGTACAGGATTCGACTGCCAGTTAAAACCAACTAAAGTAATACATTTAAGTATATATTAGAATGGAACTCACGGATGACATTAATAAGCAATACTTTTCGTTTTTGAAGTTCAAAATTTTATACGGCGAAGATACCTATAGTGATCAGATCATATGTACGAGTGTTGCGAACTAAATCAGTGATTTTTGTCATTTCAGTTGTTAAACCATCAAAATAACCTATTTTTTAACTAGCACCCTCACTAACGTAAAACCTGCATGTGGCGTATGCACAACTATAACTTTTTCGGGATACGTGCTTAAGTGTTTGCACCACCAGTTATTAGTATGAAGTAATTTTAGAGACTTTCCGCCAAAAATAAGACAACCGTCTCATGTAAAAAACATTCAGTGGCTTTCACATTTCACCTTTCATGTATGATTAATTACATCATGAAACGCCTACTCATCAAATTGGGAAACCAAAGCGTTTCATAAAGCATAAACTATAATTTCTGGTTAGGTTATCATTTCCAAATAAAATGGTTCAGAATTTCGCCAATATCAGACGCATTTTGTGATATTTTATTATGCAGCTAGATGAGTTTTGCGGTTTAAGGGGAGTTTCACGTAAAAGTAATAGGAAATGACTTACACATTTTAGTGGAAATTTCAAGGATGGATAGTTGTTACTGAAAAATAAAAGATAGGTTTCACGTAAGTACTTTGAAATGATTGTTAACAGGACAGCTTTAAGATCAGTTTAATATTCCGAAATTTTAGTGCAGATAGGAAGTCATAATGCTGTTTACATAAGTGAACATCGGGTACTAAACTCAACTTATGCGTCAAAGTTCACATCAGATTTTATTTAGGAGAGATGGGTTACATATGGTGGTCAAGAGAGTAGGAGGCTAGATGTGAAATAATTAGTTTGATGTCGTCATCCAACTTGGAATGCTGTTTCCTTCGAAGTCTCAAGGATATGTCTATGCTTACCTTGGATGGCTTTCTATATCGTTGTGAAGCTTGACAACTCGAGTTGATAGAGTTGTGTGCAAGGTTCCACCTTGATTTATCTGTTTGTTTGTTGAATAGCTTTTGAAACTTCCTGTACCGTAGCAAAGGTAGCTGTTAGATTCATTTGCTTGTCACTTTATGCAATTCACCATGGGTTTCAATGATAAATAAATCTTGTTCTTAACTGAATTCCTTCGCTGAGTACCTCAAATAAAATAAAATTTCTGTTAATACTATATGCGAAATAAAACAAAACATGAATTCATACGATGACCTTTTGCACTGACTGTCATAGATTAGTTAGAGGCTCTTCGCAGGACTTAGAGAACTGTACTTTCGAAGTAATAGGCTAAAGAAAGATCTCATAAAAGATGAAACGCTGAATTTATGATATTTTTTTGTAAATTTTTCTCATAAACAAGGATCCAAATAATAATAATAATAACCATTCGAGAATAATCAGTAATATCACAAAAAACATCTTAAATGCGTAGATATTAACTAGCATTTTCTAGTTTGATTTAGCTATGAATGTACGTTGGAAGAGTATAATGCGGTAAAAGGAAATTGCAGATACGTGTAACAGAATAGTTGTTATTTATTTCATATCAAGAAGATTCATCATGTAGAATGAAGTTGCTCTTCGCTTTATTTAACTACAGTAGTTAATTCATTTGTACTAAAATATCACTGTTTTTTTTGTTTCAAGCATTTAATCTAATTTTAGAAAAGACTGACTGAGCGAAGAAATATATTCCTCTTCAATCAGATCTTCATCTTGGGCTCTACACTAATATATAGGTTCACAATTTAATCAAATTACCAATCATATGGTGATGTTTCCAAAATAATCATGTAAATAATCAATAATAGAGTTACTAAAATGGGAAATATGAACATTGATAGAAACAAGAAGGGGAAGAGGTGTACAAAGTAAACTTAGAAGTTACATCATGTTGACGGCCACGGTAATGAAAGTGGTCGAACAAACTTCTTTTGGAGGTGGATTGCAATCGCCTCTGCTATGTGAAGTAACCGAGTGCGTAATCCATGAGGTAAATTAATTGGAATCTGATGGATGATTTTGAAGGCTTTTCCAGGAACCACTTGATGTCCTTTGTCAACTAAGTGTGCAAGTATGGAGCTCTTTATAGTTCTAATTTGTCCCTTGTTCAACCATGATGGGTGGTGCTCAGAAATTCAACGATGGAACTGCTTCATTGTACGTCTAATGTAACTAGCTCCACAGGAGCAGTTGAATTGATGCTGAATCTATTTTCTTGGGATGATGTACTGTCATATTGAAGTCTTTATATTTTGCGAGAACATTTTTACTAAATATTTATTATATATTTCCAGGACAGGATAGAGTGCTTCATTCTAGTAGGTCGTGATATGCATTACATTGTACATTTCATACGTTGGTGAAAAATATGAATACATCTCATGAAAGTGAATTTGATTGTTCGATAATTACATGGCTTATGTGGATTCACAAAGATGTTTAAACTTTTACTAGTCCTAAAATGGTAGATGACACTCCAGTTAAGCTAGATCATTATAGATGCTCATTATTGGCCTTGTAATTTTTGAACAGAAAAAGCTGATTCAGCAATGGCACTTAATAACTAAACTTATGTAGTCGCTTCAGTGAAACAAGGCTGATTTCAGCTGAAAATAGCGTCCCGGTGTTTAAAACATAAAAGAAGATATTCATAAAAGATAAACAACTCTATAAAATCCTAGCTACAGGTGTTACTTCATGAAATATTCTCCGATGTTCTTTTATTTGAAACGAGATAATCCTCTTTTCAGTTACACTCAAACTTATTGCATTTACTTGTTTACTTTAAAATCTTTAGGCAGTATAATGGTGGATGCGGTTGCAGCTGGTAGCTCTACGACTGTAATGGAAAATATGATGAATACTTTTACATCCTCTTTGAGTGATGGAAGTATCACCTTTTCTGTAGGAGGTGTTAATTATACAGCGACAGCCGATGGTAAAAATGCTGGATGTGTGAGTTTAAAAACTCTTTATTTACGATATCATTGGTTTCGGCCTCTTGATAATGAATTTCTGCATAGAAAATTAACTGTAAATTATATGGGCGTATGTCAAAATATTATCATGCATAGTGGTATATTCTTCTTACATGAAGAAAATTACTTGATGAAATAGAATGAATAATCTGTGTTATCTGTAACCCAGGGATAAAAGCGTTTCGCCCCTAAATACTTTAAGGAGGACGACTCACAAAGAATATATTTTACGCTCTTATCTGTATATTTACTGAAATCTAAGATATCAACTATCTTTTGGAAGGATATGATGATGCAGTACTGCAAAAACGTTTGTAACTCCGGATAAGAATGATAATGGTTAGGTGTTCTTGGTTATGCTATGTTCTCTGAGCTGGGTAGATCAATCGTGAGGCTTTCATTGTCTTTCTAGACAATATAATCACCGTTGACTTCAGTATGAAGTGTTTTCTGATTTCTAATATTTTGTCATGATCATCTCATCACTAAGCTTCGTGACGCCATCTGATGAAGCATCACGTTGCCCTCTTCCCTGTGCTAAACTACAGTCTTGAAGGTGTGCAACTCAAAAGCTGATACCCAAACAAAAATAAGGTTCTTAATCAATGAGAACAAAAACTTTGGGTTTGATGCAATCAACAGATTAAATCAAACATGATCAACAACTCATGATTCCACCATAACCCTAGTTTCACAGTGACGACTGAAAAAATATTTTAAGAACCGTGCTTAAGATACTGATGGTTTAATTTATAAACAATCGAGTGGTGCAAAATGCTACATTAGACTGTCATCCATATGACATTGTGGTCAACTTATGGTGTATTCAAACGAAGCTTAGATGACGTTGACTTGTCAATAGCTTTTGTAAAGAGATGAGACTCCAAACAACGATTTTAACGCTTTAGATGTAAAAATTATCCGATTGACCATCTTCACTATTTAATAATTAATTCATTTCACTTGTTTAAATAAGATCTCCGAAAATAAAAAAGTCTGTGAGATAATGGAGAATATTTGTAGCTCAGATGGATGATCTTGGTTGTATTGTGTTCTCTGACGAAAATGAAAGAACTTCTCCTTCAAAAAGGATTGAATTATAACACAAGAGATGCCTAGAAACCAGAATTCTTTGTGGCATTAGAATCGTCACTTAAAACATCAGGATTAAATGAGGTCACCCAACAAGAAATGCGGCAAACAATCGTACCACTAACAAGGCAGAAGAGACATCATGCTCAAATGAACACTCGAGAAGAGAAAACAATAAAAAGACTGAAAAATAGAAAAGATATCGTTATACTTCCAGCAGACAAAGGACGCACTATACTAGTCATAGACAAGGAAGACTATATCAAGAAGGCAGAGGAATTACTCAAAGACGAAAATGTGTATCAACCACTTGAAACCAACCCTATCCAAAACTTTGACAACCAGATAAATAAAACCTTGAACAAACTCTTCAAACGGTAAGAAATAACAAAGCAGGACAAATGGCGTATGAAATCGAATGGATCTGTCCTTCCTCGATTCTACGGTAGACCAAAACTACACAAACTCGATATCCCTCTACGACCAGTAGTCTCACTTCCGGGAACTCCAACATACAACATAACAAGAGAGCTTTCGAGAAAACTGAAACACCTCGTTCAATCATGCGGACATTCCATCAAGTCACCAACAGAATTCTTAGAAAAGATCAAAAATATTAACATAGAAAACGATGAATTAATGATATCCTTCGATGTTACAGCACTATACACATCCATCAAACCTCAATTGGCCAAGGAAATGATATCCCTCCTGATCAATGAAGACAAAAACCTTTCAGAACGCACAAAACTCAAATGTTCAAGTCTGATGGAACTCATCTAGCTTTGTGTGACAACATACTTCCAATTCAACAGCAAGATATACAAACAGATGAAAGGAACTCCAATGGGATCACAGAAATCCGGATTAATTGCAGAGGCAGTGATGCAGAGACTGTAAGCCATTATTCTACCTGTGATCAAATCAAGAATTTGGATTCACTATATGGACGACACTTTTGTCATCATTAAAAAACATGATATAGAAAACACCCACAGTTTGATCAACAACGTTTTCAATGACATCAAATTCACAATGGAGAAAGAGTCAAACAACCAACTACCATTACTGGATGTTTCAGTCAGTGGGACAAATGCCGGAAAGCTGGAAACCCAAGTGTACAGGAGGCCAACACACACTGACCAAAACCTCAACTACAATAGCAACAACCCAACGACACACAAAATCAGTTGCGTGCAGACTCTATTCAAAAGAGCGAGAACACACTGCAGAACAACAACTTCACGGAGAAACGAAGAAAATTATTTGATGTCCACCCTAAAGAGGAACGGCTACCCACGAAGCCTTATCAGATGTATCAACAGATGTATAGATATAGACCCGATCTATCAACCACTAAGGAAGATGCTAAACAACAGAAAGGTGAGAGGTGTAGCAGAGGAACAGCCGACAGGAAGGTCTATACAATCAATGACAGCAATCAAAAGAAACAACCACTCACAGGCCATATCGTCAGAGCAAGCCACTAAATCACTCACGGAGAGATACTGACAGCTCACTTCATACTGAAGTTAGTGCTGATGATGACGTCCAAAAAGACGACGAAAGCTTCACGATTAAATAAGTCTATATATTTCAAATCCTTTCTTGACATTTTGGTTCACTCTTGAGTAATGTTCCACATTATTTCTTATACCGTCTGATCGTCACTAGAAAATTTATCATAACATTTAGAGAAATACTGGGAGCAAAACCATTACGTAGTTTCAAGAGAAGTCTGATCAATTTAGTCTGCCTAATATTCTGTTTTTCTGCTATGGTGTAGATCCTCTTTGAAGGTTTTTTCCTCTCTTTTTTCAAGTAGAGTATTATATAACATTTGACTTAGCGTTGCAGTAATAGAAAAAAGACAAATAAAATATAATTGGTATCATTATTTGTCCAAGATATGAATGTAGAAACAGTGTGGTGGACAACTGAATGTTAATATCCACATCTATGCTTGTAATTCATAGTTCATTTGGTAATAACGAAAGATCTGTAGTAAAGTCGGCATAAAGGTAACTTAATGAACGAACCTTGAGAAATATAGAGCATATACCTTATCTTCTGAAACGCAAAATCTAGTGATCACAGAAAAGACTGACGGTTGTTAAGTAACTCTGGGTGCTTCTAGCTAAGTTAATGCGCCCATGTTACCTCCAGCCGCTTTCAAATCGTTGTGATTCCAGTTAACTGACCGCATTATTTCCGCGGTTTAAGGAAATTTTTGGGCACAAATCCTATTACTTACGCCTCACCCACAATATTAACGCCATTTACCCCATTATCTACTCATTTGCCCGCACTACCCAGTCAAACCATATTGCGGAAATAATGCGGGCGACTGCGTAAATAATGGGATAAATGGCTTCAATATTGCTAGCTAAGAGTAAGTAAAAGGAATTGTGTCCAAAAATTTCTCTGAACCGCGGAAATAATACAGATAGTGCTGAAATAAGGCGGGAATTGTGCGTGAATAAAGCTGCACTTATGCATGCACGCTTAAATTATTCTGCAAGTGCTTAAATTATGCGGGTAGTCCATAAAACTCCGCTTATACTAATTCGTATAAGTTGTAAGTATCTTATCAAAACGTTTTGAATATTAAGCAACTCATTCAGATACTTTGAAACTACACTTAATGGGTCTTTTGAGTACAAGATTTGAAACTTGTAGTTCAGAGTCGTTATCAAGCTGCCTTTTTCGAACGTTTTGATTTCACCTTTGACATATTCGGTTGAAATAACCAAACGGGGAAAGTAAAAATACTGAGTTTTATTTCCGGTTGTTGTCAAACAAAAATCGCATTTATCTAAGTATTATTCTGTAGCTTCATTAAGAGGTATTCTATTCCTTTTATATTACAGAGAAGAACTGGCTTCATCTCACCATTCATAATGCTTCTGTTTAATTTGCTGACTTACCAGTTGGTTTTGATAATTCTATCATACTAAATGAATCCCACTTCACAAGTTAATATTTACTTTGTTTATTTTCAATACATGAGCTATGCTCTTAAATGCACAATCCCATAAATAAAAAACTTATGCACAACAAGTCACCATTTCTTATTTTCACATATTATCATTGTCATAAAAACAGGATGTTCTAGTTCATCTATCAACTTTTCGATTATAAATTTTACGTCAATTGTTTTCTGATTTTTAAAACAAATACTTTGTTTACACTATTTTGTAATATTTTTGTTGGTTTCGAACATTTTTTGCTGCGTCAAAAGTTAGTCATGATTTTAAATTTCTGTCACACATTGAGTATTCACCAAAATGATTGGTAAAATAAAGTATCATGTTGTAGAAGATGAAGGTTCTTATTCGTGACTTACTTTGAAGAAAACCGGTATTAAAAAATAGGTAGGGATGTAGTGCTGTAGGACCAATACCTTCTCGTTTTTACTCAGCTTAAAATTTCTCAAAGACCGACTCGTCGTTCAGAGGGTTGGTTTTGTGCTCACAAGACAGCAGTGGAAGTTAACCATAGTTCATCTTGTTAGTAAGTGAGAGACTGCATTTCTACCTGTATGTCTGAGTTGCTCAAGTTAAAAGCTTAAGAAGCTTTTGCAACCACTTATGGTTTGTATCACTAGATTACATCATTTTATAAGCAAATACAAAACCTGAGGAAATAAACAATGTAACGACAAAGAAAACACACACCGTAAACAGAATTGATTTTTCAAGAGGCAGATTGAACCTGTAATACCTACACTGTTAACTGAAAAATCCTAAAGCAAAAAAGCTGAACTGAAAGAAACTAGCCACTTGAGGGATCATCCGTCGAAATACCCGACTAATAATAATTTACAGGTTGGTATTCATCATGTACTAACAAAAGTTGGACAACTACTGGAAATATGGGAACACTGAACACTCGTTTTACTCTAGTATGGGAATCCTCAGCAGTGTGTATCCATGATCCTGCTGTGGGTCGAACCCAGGAACTTCGGATTCCATGACCAGCACATTACCATTGAGGCATTTGGTCGGCTTATCTTTTTGTAATGTTAAAAAAATATGTGACTTTATATATCTGATTAATCCTAGCAAGTAACCTAAATGATAGACTCAAATAATTAAATGTCACCTTCAGAAAGTTTTTGGCAGTGTTCATACTTCTAGTGTCATATGGTGCAGTTTTTAATGCTAATCGTTTAGGGTGTGAAGAAGAAAGAAGGTATCTCGGCAGTGCACAAAATTTCCCACTGAACATTTGTAGGCAATCAACCTTGCACCTCAGTTTTACGTTTGATTTTCCTCATCATTAAATCGTAAGCCTGTCTAGCTCATTGATGACGTTTATGACTTAAGTGTTAGGTAACATGAGTTTAAATGATTGAAGAAATCCATTCATGAGTGACTGTAAAGACCACCCTAGCAGCTGCTGAAATAATCAACCAGGTCTTGGTAATAGCATACGTGGAATCCAAGTCCATGACCGTATGAATGTTGTCGCAAACTTTTAACGTAGACACAGTGCACTACCTTTCCGTGGTGTTTGTGGACTATATAACCGCTTTGTGCAGTATTTCGGACATTAATATGTTGCCTGAAGTAGGTCCAGGCTTAAAATTGGCCCGAGGTGGCCAGACTAAAACATGGCACCAATGTATGAAGTCTCTGACTGTTGGTTTAAGCCATGTGGGGCGATGCAGACTGGGTGGTTGGGGTCCACGGGACAAGAGGAGCCAGTGGCTGGAGACTAAGGGATATGTCTCAGAACCGATGTTAATTGCGCAGATGTATGCATATACTATCCTCATCTTAATGATGCTATACTGAATCTCATCACTTTCTCATTCTTCGTTTCTCTCTTTTCGTACTTTATATTTCTTTTGACTGCATTCTGTTATCTTCATCTTGCGCCTCACTGCCTTTTTACTTGATGTACTGATATGAGGTGTGGCAACTGGGACCGTTACGCAGTAATGCCTGGTTCTTGGTTTATCTGGATGGATCACTATGTTAACATTTTGTGTTTTGTCCCCTGGACTTATTGTTCATCTATCGAAACATTACAAATTGAATCTAACGATCAAGATTTCTAGCTAAGGACTGACTCTAAAGGTCACTCAAACAACTACTGAAACAACCAATTAGACTACAGTTCTGAATTTTGCTAAAAACTACCTTTCAAATGGAAATAAATAGTCGCAACTTGTTGTTTCATTCGTTGTCAGGGCGACCTAGTAGGCACTCCACCGAAGGGTACCCTAGCAACAACTGAAATAACTAATCAGACGTCTTGGTTCCGTGAAAGTCTTCCCTCTCCACTGAAGTGAAGAAACCTAATTTGTTATATCACTTGTCACTAATTGGGCCCTTACAGTCACTCCAGATTACGTATGAACATGGAGAGCCATTGATACTGCTGATCTGTAACTTAGGTGGTACTGTATATCAAATAAACGTGTTCCTATCATAACACAATTATGTCAGATACCTAATTGCCTTAAGTTTCAAGCTACCACTTATCTAATAACACAGAAGAGGAAAATTTTTACCAAGCCATTGTTTTACAGGCTGTGTAGAGAAAACTAACCTAGATGATGCAAAGTTCTTATATATTCAATTTATACCACTACTATTGCAACTGCAGATTCAATTTTCGGTACTTATTCACATACTATACCCGCAGCAGGTAGTCCTATATGTAATGTTTGACGTGTTACTTTACCTGGCAGGCACCACTATAACCCAGTTTTCCTTTAAAAACTATTTACTAGAATACGCCTGAGATGAAGAACTCGTTATGTATTTCAATAGGAAACCTGTCTAGTTTCAATGCCGCATAAATCTCCACGACGTGGTACATGCATAAGACGTTTACTTTTGACTGTTTCTCACAAACTAGATTGTGGAGTGGTGTCTGTCATTGATATTGAAGTTTACTTAGAAGTAATCATCTTCTTATAGTCACCATTATATAAAGGCATCTGTTTTCATTTCTGACGCCTGAAGCTTATGCAAAGAAGAAACTATCTGGTGTTTAAGTGCCCTAATAAAACGTTCACTTACGTTTTAAGTATATAAATATTAAGCAAGCAAAGACGGAATGTTGCACATTGAATTTCAGCGCTAGATTTTAAATTTTATTAAATGTATTTTGCACGTACTGAGCAAAGTTGGTGTGTAAAATTTTCAACCGTCGACCACCTGATATAATAACACTCACCAGACAACACCATAGCCATCACTCTCTCCATAACCATGTAAACCGGGTTTACCATCATCAATAAAGCATCAGTTTTATTTAAATGTTAATAACTCCGTTTTCCTTCTTTACACTAGTTTTCCGCACATAATCGCATAACTAGTTCCATATACTCCCTCATCACCGTTCTGTCAACACATCTTCGTCTTCAACTTGGTTCTCAATATTTCCATATGTAACTTCAGCTTCTTCCCATAAGCTGAAAACTAAAAGCTTAATTTTAGATACGGAACCAAGTTTTTGTAGTGACTACGCTTAACAGACCTATATATATATATATATATATATATATATATATATAGAAAGGCTATGGAAAATATTAACTGAGAATCATTATATTATTACTCTTAGTCCATTGGGTTCCTAATGGAACATAGCGCTCCACTAGCACGTCTACAGTGACCTCTGTTCTCTGAGATCTTTCGAACCTGGCTCCACGACAGCCCACAAGCTCTCATTTCTTCCTCACACCATCTCCTCCATGTCACCCTCGCCTCGGACGCCCAACTTGTCGTTTCCCATCGGAGTCCCACTCGAGTGCCTGGCCTGACGCGTGATGTCCTCAGTCGGCTTTCTCAGTGTATACCCAATCCATCTCCACTTCCTGCCAGTGCATATTTGTTCAGCGATAGCTTCTTGGTTGGTTCGTTCCCAGAGCTCCTTGTTGCTTATTCTTTCTGGCCATCTGATCTTCAGTAGCGAGCCAGCGTAAGCAGTTGTTGATGAATGTGTGTAGTTTATTGGAAATCCCTTCCGTAACGCTCCAAGTCTCTGAACCATACAGGAGCACTGACTTGACTGAGGTTGGTGTTGAAAATCCTGATCTTGCTCCACGCGCTGAGTGCAGAAGATCTCCACACTGGTTTCAGGCTAATGAACGCCTGTCTTGCTTTTCCGATTCTGACTTTGACATCCTCGTCTGTGCCATCTGTAGTTGGAACGGTGCTTCGTAGATAGGTGAAGGAGGTTACTTCCTTCAAGTTTCTCCCGTTGATGGTGATTGGAGCTTGTTGTTGGTGCGGTATCTTCAGCACCTCTGTCTTCTGTATATTCACTTGAAGTCCCGTCTTCGCTGCCTCTCCTGTCAACTTCTTGGTTTTTGCCTGTAGATCTTCAAGTTTGTGACATTAGGCACAAGTCATCGGCGAAATCCAGATCTTCTAGGTTCCTTTCCGCAGTCCAGCGTATCCCCTTCTTCTCGCTCCCACTGTTTGTTGCATGATCCAGTCGACCACAATCAGGAATATCATGGGTGATAGTAGGCAGCAGCCTTGTTTCACTCCTGTCTTCACTTCAAAAGCATCACTGAGCTTCCCATTGTGAAGTACTTGGCTGGTATGTGGTATCTTCATATAGTTGTTGAATGAGGCTGATAAAGGTTTGCGGTATTCCGTAGTATTGAAGCAGTTTCCAAATTAACTCTCGGTCGACGCTGTCAGAGGCCTTTTCAAAGTCGGCAAAGTTGAGGTGTAGAGTTGACTGCCATTCTATACTCTGTTCTATGATGGTGCGTAGTGTAGCGTTGCAATTTGGTCTGCACATGATTTGTACTTCCTGAAGCCTGCCTCTTCCGGTCGTAGTTTTGAATCCAGTGCATCCTTTAGCCTCTCCAGGATGATGCGGCTTAATATTTTGCTTGCTTTGGGTGGACAGGGATGTAGAATGATTCCGCGCCAGTTCTTGCAAACACTGAGGTCTCGCTTCTTCGGCAGTCTGACAAGGTAAC